TTCAAAACCAACACATAAGTGGGATACTCACACTAATGACAAATTATATTCCTTTATATTGGTTTAGCACAGATGTGTTTGTGTATGTCGCCCGATAACTGATGAGAACATGTGGTTCAAAACACTAAACATACAGGCCAGAATGTAAGCACTGGACAGCTACACATAATTTTTAGCTTTATGTCATTATATGTAGGAGATATAGCTGTTTTATTACATCGTGCTGAAGGGTTCAAAAGCAAATGGACAAATACGAACAAAACGTGTAAAATACTTAATTACACATTTTGCCCACCAGAGAGTGCTGACACCTTAATTTTTAACTGAAACGTGTCACACTCAGAGCATATTGGGTCACATCATTTTTAATGTTCATTTAAGGGATTTTAAAACTCCATATATCGATGTCAATAATGGCCCCCAAAAAAAAAAAAAATACAGTACCTGCTAAGTTATAGCTGCCACGCAGAGAAGCTGTGGGTCCAAAACGTTTTCATGTTCGATGTGTCTTTAAGTGCAGTCTTCCTTTTGTCTTTGTTACTGCAGTCATAAACTGAAGTAAAACAGCTTTGCAAGAACCTGAAGTTGCACATAAACAGATGAAGAATCACACGTGAACCTGTTATCACTGAGTTTTCTATTAACATGTTGCACTGCTTAATGACATTGATTAAATTGTACCAATACGTTTTATCATTCTAACAGCTAATCATCCCATTTTCCCTCCTCCAGGTGGATATCGCAACATCTCCAACCAGTACGGCATAACAACTAAGATAGACAAGGAACATCCAAAAATGAGAGAATATGCACAAAGCAAGGGCTGGTGGGACGGAAAGTCAGAGTTTAACTTCGCCACAGTCTACTCCTTTACGACTACGGCCAGAATAGAAGCCTCTGGGAGCCGGTACTGTGAGGGGAAGAAGCTGTTGGAGAAGAGCAGTGGTGAGTAAATCTGTTAAGCCACCGTGGAAAAATCAGGAGGAAAAAGTTTATATGACTGTTGATGCACGTGTTGATTTTATTTACTGAAGGTCACATCACTGGTGAGACGATGATGGACATCCTGAGGGATAAAGATAGTGGCATCAACATGGAGGGCATGTTTATGTCCACAGGCAGCATGGTGTCTGTGATACCCACCAACCCTGACCTGCCAGGGGTTCACTATTTTACAGCAACTCCAGACCCTGAGAGGTACAGCACCTACTGTCACTCTAGCACATAATGCACTCTTTAAATAATATTGACTTATTCTGAGTTATTCTTTTGTACAACAGGTCTGTCTTCAAACCGTTCGTCTTTGTGGAAAACGCTCGCCCACTAAAAGAGACATCTTCCCCCAGTTATGGTCAGGACGACCCTGTGAAGAAAATACCACGCTTCCAGAGCAAACCTGACCGCAAACACGAGTTGTTTGTCAAACATGAAGTGGTGGCTGCCATCATTGAATCCTACAAGGTTTGGCGATTTGCTTTAAGCCTGCAATTTACCGGAATTTTTCATTTAGACGAGTGAGGTCAATACGTTATAAAGATGTACTTACATCTATTGTTTTCCCTTTTTTCTCTCTCTCTCTGTAGGACAGAGGACAGAAAATCACCAAAAGTATGAGGGAGCTGGAGAAGGTGACGATGAAACAGATGGAGGAGATTCTTTCACATGGTGTTGAGGAGCCTGATCAGTTGGCGGATCTGTTCTCGAGGTCTGTTGAGGAGGAAATTACTGTTTACAGCAAAAACTGAGAAGCCTGCGACTCAATGGAACCACAAAACAGGTCGAGTGTGTCAGTAGCAATAAACTGTCTGTCTCTGCAGTTTACCTTTTAATCAGGTAGAAGAACTAACAAGCTTGTCTTAAAAACCAGTATATCTGAGCACAATTGAAGACTGGTTTTATTTTTTAAATGAGCGGCCAAGGGTGCCTGGGCAGTGAAATTCATGAATCCTGTGATGGAAAATATGGATTAAAATGTTGTTATGCAATGAACTGTTCACCTGAAATGCTTTCAGAGCAAATTCATTATGTAAAATAAAGCATCATAAATATCCAGCATGTGAGAGAAACTGCATGATGCACATTGTATTAGTAGCTTTATTAAAAAGACAAATATTCACAGCCATATTTGCATCATTTTTGAGCTGAAAAAAAATCACACCTTCACTCTTAAAAAAGCCACAGGCATTTTATCTTTAATTACACAACTGTGTGAGGTAAAGATGAATAACAGCAGCTCCGACTCTTGAGTTTCTAAGGATTATATGAAAGAGAATTTACAAAAAAAAAAAGTTTCAAGTCCAGATGAACATGAGTACAAGCACCTTCGCATATTCAGCCCTTGAGACATGTCACTACATTTTGTTCTGCATATTTTAACATTTTAATTTTTTTTAAATGACAATTTTCTTTTGTTGTAAATAAATAATTAACATAGAAACATGAACAAGACCTTTTGTCCACAACTGGCCAGTCGTTTTTAAAATGGTGTACTGGGACAACGTAGTCCTGGTAACAGTGTAAACACTGTTGAACAATCAATGCAAAGTCATATTAAACTGCAGGTTACCAGAGCAACATTGCTTGTGCTTAATGCTACATTAGCTGCTTAAACTCACTAAACAAACGCTACGAACTACATGAGAAATCTTCCCCATCTTCCCTTTATTCCTTTGGTGAGTAGCTTTGGTAAAACATTGATAATGGACGCAGAGGTGTCCCATTACAGCAAACAACGCACTGAGCAGAATAACCACAGATTTGTTTTAGGAGAACACCTCTCTGTGCTTCATCACTCACACAATGGCATGAAGCAAGACAACAGAGTCAAATCACATAAACTGCATGAACCAGCAAGCAAAAAAAACCCGTCTCATTTTAACATCTTGCTTCACCGCTTAAGATGAGTAAAGCCTTGTTACTAAATCCAGTGTTACACATTACCTGGCACATGTTAAATTAATTAAGTCTCCCTGTTGTACACGTCCAGTACAATCTGAAGACTGACTTCCTGATTTTGAGGAAACGTATTGCACTTAACAGCAGGTGTGGCTGCAGTATTTTTATTATGGTGTGTCCATTAAGCTTCACCTCTGAATAAATGTTCAAAAAGTATGGCTAAACATTGTTCATCTGCATCATGGCTAAAACTCCACAACCCAGGAATAAACCTGGTGAATAAAATGTTTACTAAAAAAACCCGGGTTGATTTAAAAAAGGAAAAGAAAAAGAACTAATTCCCTTTAAGTCCACACAGTGCATAGTGGCCACAGGCCTGCTTGGTTTGACAGTGTGTTACACTTCTGAACACACACATCATCAGTCAGTCAGGTGTGGCTTATTCCAGCACCCTCCTGTACTGTTGCACCGCACAACAGTGCATTGTGAAATACTGTACAGCACAGGGTTGGACAAGAAGTAATTCCCTGTTTGAAATGAAATGCCATTTGCTTTAGGGATAAAGAAAAGTGTCAGCTCTGGCCCTTGTGTATTATGTCATGAAGCGGTAATAGAGGGGACTGTCTTGGAAGCTGTATTCGTCCTTGATGTGCTGGAGAACCCCACCCTGCTGCAACCGCGTCCCATAGAGCGCCGCCTCCCCGCGGTCCTGAGCCAAGCCCACCTGCTGAAGCCACTCCACAAGTTCACAGCCAAGAAAACAGTCCACCACAGTCTGCTTCCCACACCTGAAAGTCAAGAGAAGCATTCACCCAAATGACTGTTGTTCTTTTTAAAGGAAAGCCACAAGAAGCAGAAAAACAGACAAGAGGCCACACACCAAAACCGCTGTGCAAGAAATAACATTTAAAATAATGTTTTTTAAGCATTGTGGTTTGTGGATGGCTGCCAGGTAAGTTGTTTATTGAAGTTATTTATTCATCCACCTCTGACCAGAGCAGCAACATAACTACATGCTCTCACCTTCTCTTTTTTACGATGTCATGAAAACACTGTTGTTTGTGGTATCTGGTGAACTGGGTGCAGGTCATCCTGATGTCTTCAGGTAAATCCATCTGCGGCTGCTCTTCTTGCTTCTTTCCATACCATAGACTGTATAACCTAAACACCATTCGAAGAAAAATTAATGCTTGGACACTGTATGTGTGCATATAGTGTATAAACACAAAGTATTTATAGTAAACTGTGGCACAATCCATGATGTCAATTACCTCTTTTTAAATGGCAGTAAAATCAAATGCTTGTCCAGCCCAAAGAGAGCAAAGGAGAGAAGTCCCTGTCAACAGAAAGTGTAAGTGTTATGACTTGTGCTGTGTTGAAGTAAAGGCTCATGATTTTGGGAACAGGATTTCTGTAACACTGACCTGCCCGTAGTTGGCTACAGCACAGAAGAACAGCAGCTCAAGGTAGAGTCTGCCAGGATCACGGTTAAAGAGCAACCACAAGCAGCTAGACAGGTTCTGTAAAAACAGGATTTAGGAGGGATGTTGAGTACAAGAGCCAATCCATCCTGTTCACAACACCAGCTTGTAGAACCAGTTGAGTGAAATGTTCTGCTTTTGGATATTATTTCCTTGTGACATAACTGTATTGAAGGAACAGTACGTTTACTGACATGCCTTAAAAACAGAGTAATTACATTTTTTCAACATTTCCGATTGACAGAAATACATAAAAATCATAAACAACAATGAACAATAATCCAGACAAAAGAACTTTTTCAGAATGGGTTTTATAAACCCCCATATTTCTGGACTTTACATACCTTAAAGTCTCCCACTGACAGGAGTTAGAAATTACACAGCTCAGCCATTTGTGTCTGATTTGGTTTGTGATGCACTGAATATAATAATGCAGGCAGGCGAAGGCTGATTCGTGTCACTTTACAACTGAAAGGTGGTGGTTTACTCACAGCAAGCAGGCTGACAGTCAGAAGCACACATATGAGCAGATGACGGGTCTCTTGTCTGTCTGCAACCTGTTGGAGCTCCTCCACTTGGACGAGGAGGCAGTCTGTCGACTCACACCCGCTCTCACACTGACCTGAGGGGGGCAACAGAACAGAAACTGATCATACTGCATCTTACCAACTACATGCAAAAGCACTCACATTCCTCAAATATAAGATTATATGACTAAGAATGTTCTGCATTAATGTTATCTAAGTCTACAATACTCTAACTTCTCATGAAAGAAAAATACAAGTCAGTAAGTTATCAGTACCTGCAAGTGTGGTTGGTGGGTTATTCCTGTTGGTGCTGATGATCATATCAGGCATGGGCTGGGTTGGCTCACAGTCACATATGAGGCACGCTGATAAAGCAACAAAAGAGAAAGTGACTATTAGTACACATTTAATCTCACTTCCCACTAGAAGCAGAACAACGTACAGTAATTCAATTAAGTAATTACAATAACAATGCTATGCAGCTTCCCATTTCATTTGACTGACATGAAAACAAAAAAACTGTTTTGCTATTAAGTCCATTTTCCAACAAAGTGTATTACTTCTTTTAGATTATTTCTTAATAATGTTTTTACAACACTTTTATACTTCAACAGCCAAGTATCCAAGAAAATCGCACGGTGATACGTGAATTTTGTTGTGCTTCCTTGTACAATGACAATAAAGAGATTCAGATTCTGACACTGGTTTGCATCTATTAGTATTTGTTGCTCACAGTGTTGCTGACTATTATATTTAGTACCCCTAATCAACTGTCTTAAGTTTACCGTGACTCCGTTGTCACATCTGAAAACATGTCACATTATAAGAAATGATTACCGCCTTCCTGACACTCCTTTTTTTAAAGGAAGTTAGACTGTGAAACATGATGTGTTCAATATGGAATTTAACTTGCCAAGAAGCTATCATATTACCTCCAGATAATTACGCCCAACCTTTTGTTCAGTCGTCTTCATTGTTTACGTCAAGACTTTGCAATTGTCTAGACTATTTATGGAACTGAAAGTGTATCTGACGGGAAGAGGTTGAGCTTCACATAGAGGCTCAGTTGGCTGTAGACAGCTTGAAGATAAGGGTTAGCCTTCGGATCATTAATTTCTCTCGTCGGTAACACTCAAACAACTGATGTTCCTCTGTCTGCTCCACTAATTATTAAGCTAGTTTAATCAGCAATTTTTAGTACTTTGAAACCTGGTCTTTACTCAGGGTCAACAAAGTAACAGGAGCAAATGGTCAGCTGTAATAATAATAGTAATCTCTGTTAAATGGTATCAGTAAGAGAAAGCACCTCTGTTGAGTTCTCCTGATGGAGGAGCTGGCTCAAACAAAGTCTGGTTTTCTGGTTCTTCAGTCAAAAGATCCTCTTCAAACGAGGAGTTTTCTTCTTGGTTTTGGTCATTATGAGCCCAGCTTCCTCTACTGAGACACACAAGAGAGCCTCCTCCCAGGATTATGCTGAAGGTGATTAGAAGTGTGGTGCAAATTATCTGAAAGAAAAAACACACACAGTATGCAGACTTTCCGGTAATTTCCTGTTTGGTAAATTTCACATTTAAAAAAAGAAACGTTTTGCACAAGGGTTTTTTTTTACCTGTGGTTTGCCATAGAAGTAAGATGCATCAATTGTGTCGGGCATTTTCTCCCCGAAGATGAGCAAAACAGCTGTTGCTAAAGCTGGAATTCTGTTGGAAGATGTTGGACAGTTTAACAACATTTCTCTGAACCAAGTGAATGACATGGAATTGCAGATTAAATTTTAAGGAGTGTCTGTTTGAGCATTTAGATTCAGCACAGTACTCTTGATTTATCATTTTAGTGTTTTCCTTATTGACGCATCTCTAAACCAAACTGCCTTACATTTGAGTTCTTCTATAGTGCAGGTAAAGCAGTTATGGCTCTGCCTCTTCCAGCGCTAGACAAACTAGTTTAGTTTCATTTTTAATATGACTCACCCCCAGCCTGCAATCATCAACATGCCTGGTGAAACTTTCTGTTCCTCAGACCTTTTTAAGAGCACAATTGAAAGTGCTATTAAACCTAAAACAACAAAAGTTTGCATTAATAATTAATAATCAAGCTTCATATCTTACAGCTCACAGAGATAAATGAGTGCAGTCCAGTGTGAGGTTACTGTGGGTGGATGGCTGTGTGCATACCTGGCCACATATAGGTGCTGTAGAGTGAGGTACACAAGACTGAGAAAGTCACGACCTGCCAGATGAAGCTGTCTCCCTTCACCACAAAGTTCCACAGAATCATCCCGATGCAAGTTAGAAACTAGAAACCACATCACAACAAATACAAGCTGTCACTGATGTGAAGTTATCACCAAGTAGATTCCGTCGGTCAGTTCAATCAATGGATAAAATAGTTTTCGAGCACTTGGCAGCGTGCTTACCTGTGCCAAGAAAAGGTTGACTGTAAACATGTGAGGTAGCCTCTTGAATTTCTTACTTAAAAACATGACAGGAATTGTCCACACCTGTCAGAGAAAACACGCAAACTTTCAGTGATACATGTTCACGAACACAAAGACTTTTGCACATTTTTGTAAACATAACTGATACTGAACATGTTTATTCACTTTCCGAGCAAAGCGGAACTGTAAGTATTAAGAAAAATGACATGCTGTTTTAAAAAGAAGCAAACACTGAAGAAGAACAAATATTTCATCATTGCAAAACTTATCAATTTATAGCGGCGAGTTTCAAGTTCCTGAAATGTACACTTTAAGTGAGAAAGAGGAAGTAGGTCTGTAAAGCAGTCAAACATCTGCTCACCCACACATCCTCTAAATGACTGAGCCTTTTGACAGTGGGCTGCAACAGTTGAGCAAACTTCTAACAAGAAAGTTTTCTTTTTCCCCTTTACTTTCTCCACATAATGCAAAAACAGACGTAATAGTGAATGATGCCTCGTTATGGAATACACAGTGACTATCGCAGCCTAAACTGCTGTCAGTAACAAAGTGCAACATGCTATTTATACAAACATGTTATGAATCAATTTTGATTTCACTACGACCCCAATTTCCACACATCGAGACAAAATAAAAGACTCCACGAACAAAAGGTCAGTCATAAAAGATTAGTCAATAGCGAGCTGACATGCCACAGTGAAGTGTCTGGCTGTGACTCACCAGTGCAACCAAGCTCACTATGCTTATGTTAAAGCTGACATTCTGGAGGGAATTCATTAAAAGCTGAGGATCCATCCAATGCATTGTAAGCAACCAGGCCGAAACATACATTATCGGAGCTGAGAGAAATGTGCTGATCACCATCCCTGAGGCTACCTGTTAGGAATAAAAAAAAACATGTACACTCAGTTATAAACAAAACAGCGCTATTCAAATTGCTGAACAGTAGAGACAAGGTCGCTGTAAATGACTCACAACTTCTAGCTCTGCATTGTAATAGACGGCGTAGATGGCCACGCTGGGCGCAGTGGGAAACACTCCATACAGAAAGGCATAATCGGAAAGGCTGGAGTGGTTCAAAGCGCTGGTGTTGCTGTTGTCCAACAGGTCCACCATGTCCTTACAAATCAGGGGCATTAGCAGTCTGAAAGCAAAAAAAAAAAGGCTGACGTCATGTACCGTTATTAGCAGGGTAACACTAAATTCAGTGCTAGAATATTTAAATACACTTGCTGCGATCATGCTACACACTCCTGAGACCTCTTAATGCGTCATATATGTGGTAACCGTTTGAGACCTAAGAAAAGGTCTGACTCATCAAACAATCAGCACAAAACAACATGACGGGAGCACGCTATGAAGCTAGAACCTGCTGACTCTTTCTACACTCCCACAGCACGCCTCATTACAATGACAAAAGGTTGTTGGAGAAAAAAATCAATCATTTCTTATCCAAAATGACACTGAGGTGCAGAAAAAGTCTGAACAGTTTTGACTCACAGTTTGGCTGTAAGGAGCAATATCAGTGTCACGACTGTGGATTTGGTTAATTTCCTCAACTGGCCCACCATGGTCAGACCCAAGTAGAACAGAGCTGCTCCCCCGAATGAGTTGGCCAAGCCGTCCACAAACTCAGCCATGAAGGCAGGAACTGTCTGGTGCAGGACAAAGTGGGCAATGATGCCGATCATAACCATGAACACGATGGGGTTCTTTAAGACTTGTAAAACTACAAGTCCCACGATCAGTAGTTTGCTCTGTTGGTGGTTTCCCTGATCCTTCCACTTCTGGATCTCGCAGAAGCCAAAGCCGATGGGGTTTAGAAACATCAGGGAGACCGGAGCCACCAGGTAGATGTACTGGAGGTACTCTGGGTACGTGCTCTTGTATAGGGCCTCAACTGTGGATGAAAGTGAAAGTAAAATGTTTAAGGAATAAGGTCACAAGGTTAAACATGACACATCCAGTGCAACTAACTTGTTGGTGCAGAGCTTCAGCAGCCAAAAACTCATTAAGTAGAACATGGAAGGCCTTTAATGAATAAGTTTGCCTAAATTTCACACTAAAATGTTGCACAGGACCTTCAACCTGTAGAAGAGATCAGACAGTGCTGGGTGCTGAAACGCTAACTTAAGCAGGATTGCGTCATGCACACTGTTTATATCTGCCTCGACATGCCCCACCGTAAGAACGGCCATGCAAGTGTGCAACTAGTATCATGACTCCTAATAAACTTCTCTGTGGAGTCTCCATCAGGCTTTCAACACGAAGCAGGGAAACAGTTTCAGTATTACAGAATTGGAATGAGGAAACTGAAGAAGCTTTTGAAGCTACCGCAAAACAAAGGCACTTTTTGGAAATACCACCAACAGATTATCAAAGCTGAGAAATCTTTGTCAGGTATTCAATCATGCCTAACTTGTTTAAGCATCTCTAAAAGAACAGCGTGAACTATAAACGTTTTTGTAGCCCAGTTTCAGGAGAAGTTCACGTCTCCTCTTCAACCACACGTAGTTATAGTCGTGTTTTATGCGATCATATTCCTGCAACTCTTTGTGTGCGAGCACAAACTGATAAATCCTACATTTGCTCAGATGTGACGCACGATCAGGAACATTTTCTTTGCATTAATCCAATGCTGAATGCGTTGATGTCACAAGTCTGTTTGCTAACTCAGTTTACACCATAACAAATGGATAATTATACTTTAGGTTTGGTGGATGGGGAAGCTTTATACCAGCAGGATTACAGCTGCAGCGGCTGATGAGAAGCAGCGTGGGTGGTGGGATAAAAAAGCTTTATGCTCACCTATAGGATATCCCAAAGCAAAGTCGTTGCTTTGGGTGGCAAATATGGAGAAGAGCCCTGCCTTGCTGTAGCGGCTGTCAGGACTGGCCACTATGAGCGTGAGGACGCAGACAATGACGAAGACAGACACTTTGGCGATGAGGATGCTCCAGAGGAAAGGCCAGATGACATTCCCAAAGTCCAGCTGCACCATGTTCTTGAACAGCAGTGCCGGCAGAGCAAACTTGGACACAAAGTTCCCCAGTCCTTTGGCCTGGGTGGAGGTGATGATGTTTGCCCTGCCTGCTATGTACCCGCACAGTATGATCCCAAAGCACTCGAGCAGAGCAGGGAAGAGCTTGTCTATGGACATGGAGGAGATAGCAGAGGACTCCTCCTGGTCCCCGTAGGACACGTTGAAGCTGCTGGCTGTGGTCGGCGCCTCCATCGTCCTCCCTGTGGTGTCAGCTGTCATGGAGGGTTTGTGGTCATGTTAATGTCCGGCAGGGCCAGACACTGGAGGAGGAGGAGGAGGAGGACAGAGGAGGACTTTAATAGAGGAGTTAACATGGCTGGTTCAAAGGTAACCTGATAACAACTTCAGTCGCAGCGCCCGAAACACAGTCACACGTTAAAAGCACTCGTTTTAGCAAAGCTGTGAAGTTATTACATCAAAATTAGTCAACAAGAAGCGCGTCTAGGCCGATACTGGAGTTAGTCTCACCTCTCTGACAGCGGCCGTGTCCCCTCATGTGTCAGTCATACTTGTGGGGGAAGCTAAAGAGTTAGCCTGCTAGCTAACGTCTCACCAGAGCCGTGGAGGCGCAGCTCACATGAGCAAAGTTTACCTTCTCCTGTCAATAACTTGTTGAAATAACGCTAAACTAACGACGCATGTTTGCGTAGCGCTCAAAAGACACCGTTTAAGGTCCCTCCCAGCACTTTTCGTAAATCCCTGATTTGTCCGCATGTCTTCGCCAATCAGGCTTTGAGGGCGGAACCGAGGCGGAGCTGAGCTCAGGCCGCCTGGAGGCTGCAGGAGCGGCTTGGTATCTGTTCGGTGGTTCTGCAGGAATGAGCCCGAGTCACTCACAGAACATAACAACACATCATCTGCATTGTCATCCACAGACACACACATATATCACATATCTGTCCTCGTGTGTCCTCGTGTATCAGAACATAACATAATCCCTACAGAGACTATGCAGATTATGGTTGAAGTAAACTCAGCTGACCTTCTGTACTTTATACCCTCAGGTACGATCAGGGTTAGGCTGAACTGTAAACAAACAAACAAATAAAAAAAGTGATTTCAAAACATAACAAACCTGTATATTGTATATTAAGGGTTGAAAAATGCGTACAAAATACAGTACATATTTTTAAACTTTCTTATTTTTTTCTATTTTTCTTTTTTCTTTTTTGCAAATGTTTCCTATTTTGTTAAATTTCAGATAACAACTAGTAAAAATCACAGAAAAAATGTATTAATTTACCTAATTAGTCTCAAAAGAAACAAACAAACAAACAAACAAAACAAAACAAACAAAAAAAAGGGCCAAAATTATAAATATGGCCCACGTCAAAAGTGTGTTTTTACAGACAGTCATTTGTTCGTTTACAATGTTTGACCATCAAATTACACTGTTAATGTCTTTAACCCTATTCAGGACTTTTGGGGTCTTTTGGACCCCCAGGCCATTTGGTTTAGGTGACAGGTATTGTTTTTTATTTTTGAAGATTTTTTAAAAAATATATATATTTGGAACCAAAAATACGTCAACTTATCAGAAAACGTATTTAACATAGAATAAAATTCTATAATGGATACCAACAAATATTTTGCATATATTCTTTCTTGGGGTCCAATGGACCCTGAAAGACCTTCTACGTGTGGCAACATGAAAGTCCTGAATAGGGTTAAATTTACAGTAACAGAAAAATATTTATTCCCCCAAAAAACAGGGCAAAACTGTAAACGATGCGTACATCAATAATCTGTATTTTTACAGATAGTAAGTCCTTATTTGATCAAATTAAACAGTTAAATCACACATTGTTTTTAAGGCATATAATTCAGCATAAAATATAATACATTTTCAGATATTTGCCCAATTTGAAAGAATAATAGTGTATATTAAGGGTTTAAAAAAAGCTAAGCTTGGTAAAATACCAGATAAAAGGTATTAATAAACACGTTAGCCTTTAAAAAAGCAAGCCAAAAGTGTAGTCAATGTCCACGTCAAAAAATCTGTATGTGTACAGCTAGTGATTTGTTCTTTTACAACATGTGACTCTAAAATTACACTTTCTTTTTGTTCTTCTTTGTACTGTATTGTTATTTTAAAGATATTTGCTGGCACACTCCTGTAATCACTTCAATGTCCTTGCAAGCTAATCAGTGCTGACTACAACGAATCATGAGCTGAG